TCATATATGTAGATATATATATATAAATTTTATGTATATCGTATATAAATGCATCAAATTTCACGTGAACTGTTGTCTGTTGGCCTTGATTTAGTCGCTGTTTGGAATAGAGATAAAAGAGATTACTCATCTATCAAAGATTGCTCATGCAAATCAATGTAAAATGCATGCTAAACTGTATAATAAACTCAATTTGTTTATGCATTAGCTATTGTAGAATGCGGGGCAGAGTGCAAAGAGAGGAAGACTTTGGGATAACTCAAGCAGAAATTGCGTGCTAGTAAAATTCTAAGCAAGCAGCAACAGCTTAATTACAGTTTGAGCTCCTCCGTGTCGGGCAACTTCTTGAAAAACCAGTCCAAATGCTCTTCGGTGACCTCGGACAACGTGGATGGTTGCCATTTGGGCTTCTGATCCTTGTCGATGAGCAGGGCGCGCACACCCTCCTTGAAGTCGGCGCGTGGCTCCAGGTGGCGCACGGCCAGGCGATATTCCATGATCAGGCACTGGGCCAGCGAAAGCTGGGCTCCCAGCTCCAACTGACGGAATGTTACCTTCAGCGAGGTGGGAGAGACTTTGCTAAGGATCTATAAATAAATAAATAAATAAATGATTCAATTAGCTTTTAGCATCGCTCGTTAAGTTAATATGCGAAACGTGGCATGCGCCACGAGGCGTTAATTGAATTTGTTTTTCTCTTAATATATAATATTTGTGTGTTATATAACACTGTCTAAATATTTATGCGTAGCGTACGTCAATTAGCAGCTGGATCGCACGACTCTTATCACCTATTTATGTACTAAACACTGACCTCCAGCTGTTTCTTTGCCCAATCACTGTCGTCAGTCCGCAAGCTCTCCAGTATCTCCTCCACGGAGCCGGCCGAGAAGTGCTTGTTGATCTGCTCCAGCACGGGCGTCAATGAGAACGGCTTTTCCGGCTTCGAGTGGAACTTTTCCAGTATCTCAGGCACATCATCGGCATCTGGGCAGTTGAGTAATGCAGTTTCCAATTCTGGAATTTTGCTGCTCTCGCAGTAGTGGGTAGCAATGCCAGCATAGTAGACATCGCCGCCGCGTAACCTATGACCCGTAAGACCCAAGTAGATACCTAGCTTGCCTTGCAGGCGTGGCAGGAAGTATGAGCCGCCCACATCAGGAAATAGCCCAATGGCCGTTTCGGGCATAGCGAACAGCGTGCGATCGGTAGCCACGCGATATTTACCATGGACACTGAGACCTACTCCACCGCCCATTGTAATGCCATCGATGATGGCAATGTAGGGTATCTTGTAGTTGCCGATCAGCGCATTCGTTGTGTACTCCTCGCGGAAGAAGCTCTTCGACTCATCCGTGGGTCCCGCATCAACCAGGGCGCGCACATCGCCACCCGCACAGAACGCCTTCTCCCCGGTGCCCTTGATGATCATCAAGGATTTGGACTTTTCACATTTTTTCAGATGTTTGTAGATCTTGCGCACCATCTCCAAATTGATGGCATTTAGGGCTTTGGGCCTGTTTATGATGATCATGCCCTTGTTAGATGACTCCGTGGCCAGCACGGAGGACGAGGAGAGGCGCGTGGAGTTTGCCATCGGCATGTTAATTGTTGTTATTTCTGTTAATCTCGCACCGGCGGCGCACAGCAATGGCAATCGGGTGTAGGTACGATGACCAAGAGTGTAGGCTAACCTTTGAATTGGATTTTGCTGTGGCGCGTTTTGGTTAGAATCTCATTAGAAATTTTATTATGTGTTCATTTGCATTATTTACCATTTTGAAATTAGTTTCTTTTTATTTTACTTTTCTTTTGCCCCTCCGCACAACGAGTTGCGCAATAACAAACAGAATCTTACGGTGTTGCCGTACGCAGCGATAAACGTTTAGAATACGATTACTGTGAGCTTTTGCGTATTTTAATTAAATTTTAAGTGGATTGCGATCCGTGATTATTCAACCGCAGAATAATTACAATTGCGCTGTATTTATACTAGTTGCAGCATTAAATAGAATGGTAATAACAAGTAGAGTTGCAGCACCCGAATGCAAGGTGGCAACTCTGTGGCTAAACGGAACAATGCAAGCGCATATAAAACGTTTATGCCATGATTTAGATTGTTGAAATTGTTAACGTAATGTTTGTGCTATGCATATTGAAGATCGATTTTGATGCAAATAAGAGAAAATATATAATTAAATTTAACCCTGATTTTTGCAAAATATATTACGTAAATTAAATACTATTTATGCAAATATAATATTAATAATAAAAGAAAGTATCAATATGTTTTATATTCGTGTATATAGTTAAATTCATATTGAAATGATATTCGAGAGTACATTATCCTCTCTTACAAACACAATCAATAAAATCAAGAACTGATAAAACGTAATCAGCTTGCATTTCCATTAATTGTGAGTTGGTGTGCATAATATAAACGTAAACAAAAGCTTATCGCGTTTGGCGTGCGTGTAAACCTATTAATACGAGTACAAGCACGCAGAAAACTAAAGCTTAACTTTATCATTCTCATATTTAAACAAATAAACGGTGAGTAAATATCGGTAATCAGCACCACAAGGTAGCAGAATGCCTATGATTCAGTGGGGTAAGAGCCAGCGAGTGGCTCACATTGAATTGTCTGTGCGATGCCATCGTTCTTTAAATTGTCGAAAATACGTACAAAGCGCCGTCGCTCATCCGTTTCCAAATCCAAACAGATGAACTATGATGCACTGCTCTCACAGTTGACCGACGACAAGCTGGTAATCTACGACAGCAGAGCCGAGGTGGGTGGTGGTGCCGCTGGCACGGCCGCCTCCCTTGTCGAAGGCGACGTTCAGGATGGCGCCATCGAGGAGGAGCAAGCAGCGCCCATACAAACAATACACCACAGGGCATTAGTTGCTCCGGGAACGACTGCTGCGTCAGCAACGGCCATGGGCACGACACCTGCAACAAGTGCAAACCTCAACCCAAAATTGGAAAATGCTGCGACAGCGACTCCACAGCGCAAAATATCGACGTCATCACGTTTCATGAATGCGTTTACTCAGCTTTATAGCGGCAATAGCAGCAGCAATACCAACAACAACAGCAACAATAACAGCCATAGCAACAACCACAGCGCTGGTCACGTGGAGCTGCATAGCGATGATCCCGATCTGGCGGCAAATCGCACACCGACCAAGGGCATGGAATCCAAGCTAGTGGCCATGTGGCATAATGTCAAATATGGCTGGACGGGAAAAATGCGACAAACAAGCTTCTCAAAGGAGCAGCCCGTCTGGCTGCTTGGGCGTTGCTATCATCGACGCTACACCCCTCCCGTCAGCATGGAGAACTCCACCACAGAGATTACTAGCGGTGCTGATACCCCGCCGGATAATGCCACATCGGCGTTTGATAGCATTCAAGCAACAACCGCTACTCCGTCGTCCTCCATAAATCCGCAACAAATCGATGAGATTGTTGTGCCCCAAGAGCTGGGCATGGATGCGGCCGAAAATCAACTGGCCGAAAGTCCGTGGGAGGAGGGCATTGAGGGTTTCCGTCGTGATTTCTACAGCCGCATCTGGATGACCTATCGGCGTGAATTCCCCACTATGAATGGCTCCAACTACACCTCAGACTGCGGCTGGGGCTGTATGCTGCGGAGTGGCCAAATGTTGTTGGCTCAGGGTCTCATTTGTCACTTTTTGGGTCGCAGTAAGTGCGAGTCTGTTGCTACAGTAAACACTGCTAATTGGGTACTTTGCTTTCCGACAGGCTGGCGCTACGATGCGGAATCGCAGCTGCATTCCACATACGAGGATAATATGCATAAAAAGATAATCAAGTGGTTTGGCGACAGCTCCTCAAAAAACAGTCCTTTTTCCATCCATGCGCTGGTGCGCCTCGGCGAGCAGCTGGGCAAGAAGCCAGGCGATTGGTATGGTCCCGCCTCAGTCTCCTATTTATTAAAGTGAGTGGTGGATCTATATTGCAGGAGGTTTCATTAATGCTATATTCCATTTATTATGCAGACACGCCTTAGAGCATGCCGCTCGAGAAAATGCCGACTTTGACAATATAAGTGTCTACGTGGCCAAGGATTGCACCAGTAAGCTGTACTCTACACACTCCGTATCCATTATTAATCGCCGCGTTTACAGTTTACATTCAAGACATTGAGGAGCTGTGCAGCATACCGGAGCCGGCTCCCAAGCCTCATGTGCCTTGGCAGCAAGCGAAACGCTCGACCAGCGATGCGCCCAAGCCTGACCAACATTGGAAATCTTTGATTGTCCTGATACCACTACGTTTGGGCACTGACAAACTGAATCCCGTTTATGCGCACTGCCTGAAGCTCTTGCTCAGCACGGAATACTGCCTGGGCATCATTGGCGGCAAGCCCAAGCATTCGCTGTACTTTGTGGGCTTCCAGGAGGACAAATTGATACATCTGGATCCGCACTACTGCCAGGAGATGGTGGATGTTAACCAAGAGACTTTCCCCATGCACTCGTTTCACTGTAAATCGCCACGAAAACTGAAGTCCACCAAGATGGACCCAAGCTGCTGCATTGGTTTCTATTGTCCTACCAAAACAGATTTCGATAGCTTTGTGGAGAGCGTGCAATTGGTGAGTCAAGCTGACGCTAACTAAGGGCAATATATAATCCTTTCTTTTATTCAGTATTTGCATCCCATGCGTTGCGCTTCTGGCGTTACCCAGGACAAATCAACGGCACCAGCAGCTCAATCCCAATCTCAAGCCCAGCAACCGCCTCAAGTGGACCCGCCCGAGATGAATTATCCGCTGTTCACGTTCTCGCGTGGTCGCTGCCTGGATCATGCACGCGATGAGATGAGCGACTCGCTCTATAAGCCCCTCATATCGCAAGTGGCCGCCTTAGCCCACGAACTGGAGGGCATTGCTCCACAGCAGTTGCATGGCTACGAACATGATCCGGATGACAGTGAAAGCGAGGAGTTTGTGCTGCTTTAAGGCAGCCATTTGATACACATATACTATCTATATACAAATAGAAATAAGTCTTGAATGCCCTCTCTAGATCTTCCCCTGTTACCCTGATGCGCAGCCTCAGTAACTGTGTGAACTGTGTTATATTCTTTTCATTGCTTTATTATTATTCTGATTATGATTAGCTATTGTAATTTTGCGTTTATTGTTAGGTAGGCCGTCTCGCCGTTGCTCGCTCGCTAGCTTGCCCAAAACTAAGTAAAACCGACGTGCATCTCAACTTCAAAGACTTTGTTAATATACAGACACTCCCATACACACACATATATATACATGCATATATATATATATTTATAAATTGCACATTTGCCTATTATATTTTATTCTTTGTGATTATTTTCAATTTGCAACCTTTGTTCAAATTGATTTCATTTTTTTATATCCTCAACACGTTTTGTGCTTCACTCTGATTATTGCTATATATATTATTATTTCCTATATATGTATAAATAGTTTATGTAATTCTCGGTATTATTATTTTGTAATGCGATTACTGTATGGAATTGAAGTGTAATTAATCAACGGTGTAACAAGTGTTTCGCTGCTCTCGAAAGTATTTTATTTGTAGTCCCATGTCTTAGATTGTAATTAAATTATGTTTTGTCTCCTAGTGGTTCCTTCATTATTTAGTTATAAACATTAATTGTAAATACCCTTGCGAATGAATAAATAAATCTAATAGTAAATACATATATAGAGCTTAATGTTTAATTTAAATATTATATCTATCAACTTAATCTAGTTTCATAGAGTGAGTGTGGAACATTCAAGTTGATTGAGTTCTCTAGGTGTTAAGTTCGAAGATATGATATGGATGACATGTCAGAGTCATAGATAGTGTTGATAAGGCAGGCAGCGTGAACGGCTCATCAGAAATACAAAAATGACTAGTTCATTAAAAAAATATTACCAATCTATTTAGGGGGTTTACGCGCTTGATGAACTGCTGTGTGACACATTCGTTGATAAAGAGAAACTGAGATTATGGAAACATATTTTTGGACATAGATATATAGATCCATTTGAGGTTTTTGTTCTTCTTTGTTGTTGCTTTGTAAATCTTTTACTGACTGTAAAAATAATATCAGTATTTAAAAAAGAGATTCCTTATATAAGATATATATAAATGTCTTAGAAGGATCGTCGAACAAAAATTTGTAAAAATATAAATATATATAAAGTCATAAAATTGCTTTAAAAACGTTTCAAAATAGTTCCCTTCCCCTATATTAAGATATTGGATTGCTTTTGGATGAAGTTGGATGAAACTTACAGCTATGACCAGATGTCTTTAACTTAGAGTAGGGTTTCCTTTTGGAAAAGCCCTTATTGCTGTGATTCCTTAGGCGTCTCGCGATTCAAGCGTTTCAGGAGTTTGCCGAGATTATCTCGCGCTGTTGTCGCCCGCGAGGAATTAATACTAATGGCAGTCTGATAGCACTCGATGGCTTCCTCCAGCTTGTCCCAGCGATGATAGAGCACACCGAGATTCGTATGATACAGCATGTTCCGTGGCTCCAATTCAATGACCTGTTTGTACAGTGCCTCTGCCTCCAGATAGTGCTTCAGCTTGCCGAGAACATTCGCACGTATAAACAGAATGCTCGGCTCATTGGGCAGTTGGGTCAGCGCCTGGGCGGAGATTCGTAGCGCATCCTCGTACATGCCACGGTTATCCAACATGGTTAGAATATTGGCCCAAGCTTTAGGCTGTCGCGGATTAATGGCAACGGCATGCTGCCAATGATGCAGTGCTTCGCCGTATTGATGCTGCTCCAGAAACAGATTACCCATGTTGTAGTAGCAGACGGCATAGTCAGAGCGATACTTGAGGGCCTGTCTATAGCTATCCAGCGCCTGGTCGTATTTCTTTTGCGCCGACTGCACGATGCCCAGATTCATCCAGGCCACGGGAAAGGCGGGATAGGCAGCCAAGGCAGCACGTATGTACTTCTCAGCTGTCTCCAATTGCCCATACTCGCGATAGAGATTGCCCAGATTCATCAGCGCCGACTCGTACTCCGGATAGAGCTCGACAGCCTTCAGATAGTGATGGAAGGCACGGCTGCTGTTGCCATTGTCCGTGGCCAGCCGCGCTATGTTGTAGTGCACCTTGGCATTGTTGGGGCACACCTGCAGCGCCGAGCTGAACAGCTGCTCCTCGTTTAACCACTCGGCCGCCCGTTGCCTTGTGCGCAGCATAAACACGGCAAAGAGCAGCATGAGAAGCGCCTGCAGAGCCACACGGCAATATCTGTTGCCCGCATAGTTTTTATAGCAGTAGAGGAAGCCGTAGACGGACACCAGGCAGAAGCCAATCGATGGCACATACAGTGTGCGCTCCGCAATGACAAATCCAACACGGATGATGCCGGATGCGGGCAGAAATGGAATAACCATCAATGCCAAACCGAGCATGAGGCCTGCGAGTCGTCGAAAGTTCATGAGGGAGACAATGAGGAATGAGTAGAAGGCAATGACGCCTTGCAGACGCATATCCCAAATGCTGGTCACCAGATTGATGCAGCCCAGCGCCCAGTCAAAGCACAGCCACTGTGGGCATAGCATCAGCCAGAAGTTCACCACGTACAGGTACTGCTGCGACAAACCTCGCGTGAGCAGCTGCTCGTTGTGTGCTATTGGATTATCCACAGGCTTGAATTCCGGCGCCTCGAAGTTTTGCCACCAGAGGCGCAGGAGCAGCAGCGAGAGCATGCCGCATATATAGCACAGGTAGCGCAGACGTGAGGTGATCACTCGCTGCTGTAGCTTCAGCGGCAGCATATAGGTGCCATTCTGAAAGTAGTCCAGCATAATGCAGCATAACGGTATTGTAATGGCAGACTCCTTGAACAGCATGCCCACTGCCGTAAGCAACAGAATGAGAATAACGCTGCTGCCACCTGGCTTATCTGCGCTGGCGACTGTTAGGAGCAGACAGAGCAGATGTATGAGTCCAAACATAAGCTCCGCTCGGCCCACTACGCCGGATACGGCTTCTGTGTGCACCGGATGGGCGGCAAACAGTGCCGCTGATAGCGTCGCCCATCGTTCAATGTCAATGTCCTCCACATACAGCGAGCGTACAAGGCGCCACATGAGCAGCGTATTGACGCAGTGCAGCAACAGATTGAGAAACTTCATGTGCGCAGCATTCAGGCCAAGTAACGCGTATTCGTAGTGGAACATAAGCGTTGTCAGCGGCCGGAAAGATTTGTGTGAATCCGCGCTTAGGAGCGGTGCACCCCAAAAGTCGTGACTGAAGATCGCCGTCCAATTGGTGGGCAACGAGTTGACATTTTTGTTCTTCACTATGGCAACGGTGTCATCGAACACAAATTTGGCACCGCTCAGGCCGCCATAGCCATAACAGACCAAACACAACAGCACCAATATCGACTGGCACACCAGGCTGTGTAGCGTTGAGCTTTGCCGCAGATCCAGGCTAGCCATGTTCTTCGCTAAATGCACTGCACACTTTTCTTGTCCTTAACTAATTTAACTCATCCCTTTTGACCACGCAGTTTGTATACATCGCTAGTTGAGCGGGGATGTCTACCCACTGGCAGCCGTAAGCGCGACTTTGGCCATTCACATGTCATCGTCGGAGTCAGCTGTATCATTAGCAGTGCAAATCAAGTAAGCAGTTGCAGAATTACATTTTCGCATATATATATTTAACTAATATAAATAAAATACAATAAATTAATTGAATAAGTAAAAAAGTCGAAATTTTGTACTTACATAAAAATTAGCATTTTAAAAAATATTTGCTTTAAAGAAACTCAATTTTTACCCATTCACAGCTGCAAATGCAACTTTTGCCATTCGCATGATAACGTCATAGTCAGCTGTTGAGTGCAACTCTGATTTACAGAACGTAAACAGTATTGTTATAATAATGTCGGAGGAAATTGTATTTGATTGCCTGCATGCCGAGATAGTGAACTATTGCCTAAATAATAGCAAGGTGGAGCATTAAATCATAGATAAAGCATGTATAAACATTACTATTTTGCAGGATCAAAATGATCTGGGCACCCTGGAGTACATAGGCTTTACCACCGGCTATCGGCTGATCGAGCGCCTCACGAGAGACGTCGGCCGCTTCAAGGATGAGCTGGAGACCATGAAGTTTATATGCACTGACTTCTGGACATTGATTTACAAGAAGCAAGTGGATAACTTGCGCACCAACAACTACGGCATGTACGTGGTGCAGGATAAAGCATTCCGTTTTCTCACACGCATCTCGCCTGGCTCCAAGCAACTAGAGCAGGCGCCCAAATTTGTCGCCTTCACTTGTGGTCTGGTGCGAGGCGCGCTTAGTAATCTGGGTATCAATAGCACTGTGACGGCTGAAGTGCAGACAATACCAGCCTGCAGATTTCACATAGAAGTCAATAGGGGCTAGACATAAATTTATAGATAACGCATAATAATACATATTATAAATATATATCTGTTAATTATCTTGTATATTTAGCTAAATAATGTCGACTTTCTCGTAGATGGCCACCACATTCTGTTCAGTCCATTCGCAAAGCTCGCGCAGCGCCCATTGTTTGTCAGGCAGCTGAGGCTGCAGAGGATTTGGATCTGTGTGTATGCCCAATGCAGGCTGTGGACCTATTAATATCAGCCACTTGCCTTCAAATGCGCTGAGGTAGTCCAGGAAGGCGCTGCGATTGTTAAAGTAGGAAAAGAGCAACGCACATGGCGCAACCCCCGAGCAGCAGCGGCTGAAGAAACTGGGAATCAATTTGGAGTCCGCCTGCTCAATGTAGTTGAGTGGAATAAAACTGCGTACGGCGTATTTGCTGCGCCACCAGTTCGGATCCCTTTCCAGGCCATATATTCGCAGCTCTTGGTCAGCCACCACGCCGAGCAGCCACTCGAGCAATCCACTGCCACAGCCAATGCTCAACACATGGTGAATGTCCAGCTGCTTAAGCACACCATTTAGTTTCTTCAGATCCAATGCTGTGGGCCATATCCAGAGCAATTTGCGCTTCAAGTCCCGCTCCAGTCCGTAGCCCAGTGTCAGCAACTTGCGCCAATTTTGTTTGCCTCCAGCTGCACGGGCTATATCATAGATCTCTTGTAGTACCTCTAGTTCCGCTTGCTCGCTCCACATTTCGCGCACTGCGCTTGGATAATATAATTATGTATTTCTATTGCTTGTTCATCGAACAGTGCCCAGACCCTTGTCATTGACGTAGGCCAAGTAAGCAGCAGCATTTTAGAGATCACGACTCATTAATACTCTATAAACTATAAATAATTATATATTATAAACAATTATTATTGAAAAGAACCTATGTATGCCTTCCGTTGGGACTAGCTTTTATATTGTTTCGAATCAAACACTGATGTATAAGTTTTATCACTAGAGTACAATATATACAAATACTTAACTCTAACAATATAATATACATATGCAAATGGAACCAGGGCCTGATTTCGAGAGTTTTTAAAAGATTGATCTAAGCGTAATGAAGCTAACTTAGTCATTTGATTCACTGAGCTATATAAACCTGTCTATAAGCATATACACACACCGTTACCTAGTTGACATACCCTCAGCAAGTGTATAATATGGCATCAGGCCAGCATTTCATTCAGCTATATGTATAAATAACTACATTGACCCCATCTCATTATAATGCCTTATGCCAATTGATCAGTTCACATCTCATTTAAATTCTTGAGCAAGACATTGCCTCGGACTCTTTAAGGATCTTCTAACAATAGCTAATACTATAATTTTTAATTGGTATGTTCATTTTCATAGAAGTATTTGAAGTTTTTGCGCCAATGCCTAAAGCAGGAGCTGCTCTGGTCAGGCAAAGTTGGATGTTGCGTCGGTGCGAGCTGCGTCGCTTGTTGTTCAGCGGTTGTCGGTGTTGACTCGTCCATATCCAGGCCAGTGGTGCTCAGCTCATTGGAGTACTCCTCGTTATCCAAGTCCAATATGATTTTGCGATATAATTTTACATTCTCTTTTTGAACTTTATCGGGCAGCGATTTCTCTGGCAGCGGTTTCTCAGGCTCCAGTTCGGGCACTACCACCGGCTGCACATTGCCCACACTCATGATGACGCTGCTGTAGCGCAGACTTGGTGCAGTTGGCTGCTCTGCAGCAGCTGGCGAAGTCGTGGTGCTCTGCTCGACATCTAAGACTTGTACGCCCGCATCGAATTCAATGCCCGGATGCATGGAGCGCATATGCCGCTTCATATTGTCGCGCCGACTGACTGTGACGTCACATTCCAGACATCGGTATCGCAGTTTGGTTGTGTGTTGCTTCACGTGCCGCTGCAATGCATCCACATCGTTGTAGGTCTTATTGCATTGGGAGCAGGCATGACGCGGACGCTGAGTGTGTCGGGCCTGGTGCAATCTGAGCGTGGAGGAGCGCAGAAAGCACTTGTTGCACACATTGCACTGGTGCCGCCGGCTATTCGGCTCGTGCTTCACGCGATGCTGCCTTAAATTTGCCATAGTTAGATAGTGTTTGGAGCAGTCAACACATTTGTATGGCAAGCTGTTGCCGCTGTGCAGAACAGCGTGAGCCGCAAGGGCGCCCTGGCTGCGAAAGATCCGTGAACATTGCTGGCAGGGAAAGCCAGATGAGTTGTGGGTACGCATATGGCGTTGCAACAAGAGCTCCTGCCTAAAGGTTTTGCTGCAATTTGAACAGCTGAAACTGGGACTGTTATGGCTCTTCTGGTGATACTTCAGATGCGAACGTGTGGCAAAGCGCTAAAAAATATTAACTGTTACACATATATTGAATTGAAGCAGCAGCTTTTGTTTTAAATTACGCGTGAGCATTGTGTGCAGGGAAACTTCTTGAGGATCTCATTGCCACAGCTACGATGATAATACTGTTGTGTACGACTCCGAAAGCTCTTGTTGCACACAGAGCAATGATAGCCCTGGGTCGTGATCGTTATATGTTTATAATCCTCATTCTCAACTGGTTGAGCTACAGCATCTGCTGCGGGTTCAAGCTCCCTTGTCAACTGGCACTCCGAGCAAGCGACTTCATCTGCCAGCAGACACAATCGACACTTGTTGTGTCCACAGCTGTCGGTGACTAGGCGATTTTGTCCAGATGCTACGCAGTTGCAGCGCGGACATATGCTCATTATTTCATAAAACAAACGTTTGCGTTTCAAACAAAAGGGAGTCTCGATCAATGCACTTGTTGTTGCACGACGCTCTTTTTTACTGTCATTCGAAGGCAAACGCAATCAGTCAGTCACAGCGAAACGTAAACACAAATTAATGCAACTGAATTTGAATGAATACTTTTTTCTCATATATGTACGTATAAAATTTATTTTTTACTATAAACTTATATTAATTGTCCTGAAAATGTTTTATATATACTTATATAAAAAGTAACCGTAACTACAAATTATACACTATTCATTATTTCATTATTCCATTATGCTCTCCAAATCCAGTGCAGCCACATTACCTGGAAACAGGTGGGCCTTCTGCATGGGCACCTGCACAAAATAGCGTTCGCAGAACTTGGGATTTCTTTTGGTGAGCACCTCGTTGAGTATGATATTATAGCTGATTTTCTTAGTTATAAGCAAGCGACGAGATTCTCCAGTGCCGTAGCTACTCGAACGCAGTCCAAACTTGCTAGCAATCCTACAAAATACAAAATAATTAGGAATAATTTTGAACAATGGTTAAAAGAAGTTTGCATACTGATGAAACGTGGCGCGTTCTTCTTTTGAGAAGTTCGGCTCAAACTGCATGTCTCGTATATCATCCGAATTGACATAGTTCTCTATGAGCTTGCGATAATCTGCCAGGTTAGCATGCGGATCATTGGAGCCCAAACCCATACGATTGTTCTTTAACAGATAGCTGCAAAATATTGGAATTCCATATTTAGTTAAAGACAATGATATCAAGACCAAACACCTACCCTACGGGCTCCTCGCGACCTTGCTTGCGGCGTCCCAGACCACCGCCTGTCCAGCCCATCATGCGCATCATACGATAGCCTTTGTTGCTCGCATCCAGCTTGCTATCCGTCAGACTGTCCGCCGACTCCTTGGTGACATTGATATCAATGCCATTTTTGCCCTTCTCAACCTTGATCGTAGCTCGCGCTGCATTCAGCTGGACACAGAAAAGATGTATAAGCATATGAACTCATCTCAGGTAATCCTCTAGGCACTGCCTACCTTAATGCTATAGCAGTGTGTCTGCAGCAGGAGCAAAGCCTGCTTGTATGCAGCTACTTTGGCTGCCTTTAGATTATCGCCTTGTCCGGTGGCTATAACCTCATCATTGATTACAATCTCTGCTGTTTTGGACGTTTCATTCGTTTGGGCTTCAATCAAGCGTTCGTCGTACTTCATTTTGGCCAAGTTACAAGAATTGCGCAAGCAACTGCGACCGCCAGCTAAATAAATTATCAGATTCCCAAAGCGCAAACCTTCGAAGAGATCGAGTGGGGCGCCGCCACCGAAACACATCCGTTCGGCGCTGCTGGTGGATTGGCTTTCGAGCTGGACTTGTTTCTTCTGCATTGGCTGTTGGGAGCGGCCTAATTGATTTGGAATACGTGTAATCAGGATTCGTGGGTTTCACGATCACATATATACTAAATATACATATATATTTATATATTTACGAGTAATATATAAAACATTTTCTTCCGTCACTTATAGTACATCTATGATCTTATTATTATTTTGGATTGTTCCGTCTACCTTTGGCCCGCTGTTCGGCTGCGTCCGATGCGTTGACAAACGTGCGCTTTAGCCGCAGCGCCCGCTTCTGGCGAAACTCTTCGGCAATCTCTTTTGACAACTCGGCGACCAGGAGCATTGTTTCCGAAGGGTATTTGCAACCCAGAAATTCCATGTTGATGAATGTCTGTGCCAGGCACACCAAGCGCTCCTCGTCGAAGCGGTCCTTGTGTGCCATCATAAAGTCACGACGCAGTTGCCAGTGCTCCTCACTCTCGTATTCCGTTCGGTAGTTATCCACGTCCCAGTCGGTGGAAATTTCGCCGGTAGTCGCATTTTTTTTGGACTTCTTTTTCGAACGGCTCTCTTTCGATGTGCTGGGCTTTTCGTCTTCAATCTTTTGTCGCTTGGCCACGGTTGCCATTTTATTTCAACTATATTTAACTTATCCTATTTTATATATAATTATTGTGTATGGTTTTTTCTAAAACGAAAAAAACCTGGCACGCTGCTTGAAACTGCTCGATAACAGTACTTGGTTAATCGCCAGTCGCAGCTAATCGCAAAGTTATTATTATCGATAACAATTTCTCCACCTGGCTCTCTCTGCCAGCCTTGTGTGCCCGTGTTGTGTGTTTTTTGATTTTTCTGGTTTTTGTTAATTTTAATTTCGTGTACCGAGTGGACTGTGAACGTTTTAAGTGTTTTTAAACCAAACTTGCATGCTGCAAGTTTCAACGTCGGCCTGGAATAACACATAAACAACCCCAATAGGACAAATAGCAGCCGCCAACATGAGCATACCCAACGAATATATTGCAAAAACGGAAGATGTGGCCGAACAGGTAATTCTCTTAGGATCCTAAGCCGTGAAAGTAGCTAATTGCACCACTTGCAACTGTTTGAAGAGCACTGGCAATTGGTCTAATCGACATCTAATTGGAAAAATCCCAATACCACTTAAAGCAAAAGCAATAGAAAACTGCCAACGTCATCCAAACGCGGCAAAGTTCGAAGCTTAATCGCAGCCACAGTATCTGGCAGCAAGTGCTCCATGGTGGGCTCCAGGACGTACTAGAACCAAAGTTGGATAGCTACTTAAGAAAAATGCCCAAAGAATCCAGGAACTTGTATCTAATAGAGAGTACGCCATATGCGGTTACGCTTTGCGTCTGCATATGTGTGTGTTCGTGAGTCTGTATGTGTGTGTGTGCTTAGTCCGTACTAGTGAAAGTGGTGAGAGTGAGCGGCATGAATGTTGCGTCGTCCATCTCGAACTAGTCAAGTTCCGTAATAGCTTTAGGAAATGAAAATCTGGCAGCCCGCTTAAACACTTATACTTACACACGGTACCTAATCAGAGAGTATGTGTATATAAATATATATAAATGTATGTGTGTGTGTGTGCGTGCCTGCCCATGTATCAATATATTCAAATTATGCATTGAAGCTAGGCATGAAAACCCGTTACACGCTGAGAGAGATGGGGAGATAGCGTGGCTCACATAAGGTATAACGCGAAAGAGCAGCTGAGCGACACGTCATGACCCGCCACTGTCTTGCCAAATCAACACTGTCTTGTCAAAAAAAAAGGCCAACAAAAAATGAGAGCCACGCTCCAGTATGTTGTAAATTTCTGAGCTCTTATCACAATCAACTAAAGTGGACGATTCCCCGCCGATATGCCAATAGTTGGTTTTCTGTTAACTTCTCTTACTCGCTAGTCACTTATCAATTGCTTTTGCCCGGCGCACGCAAATATGTATATTAATGCATCACTTCAAAATACACCCGAAAAAATCAAGTCCGCTACAAAATATCTGAAAATATTAATTAAAAAACATAGGTTTTTTTTTTTGCTTTTGTGTGTTTTTTTTTTTTTTTTTTTAATATATTCTTGCACTTAAAACCCAGGTAAATAATTATAGCAAATTGCATTTTATTTTTAGCAAACGAGTTAGTAGTAGAGTAGACTCGCAGATACGTATTTACATAACATTTAGAATGTTCAGCTCGGTATGATTTTTGACGGGCGTCTGTAGAGATTTTAAAAAATGATATTGCATTTGATGATATATTATTATACGCATATTGAGATCTTCTGATAAAAAATATACATTTCTTCATGAAGTGTAATGTTATAAAAAAAATAGAAAAAAAAACACAACACAACCACAGCATCGAATAGAAGCCGAAAAAAATTAATTACATTAATTTATGTATTTTATTTATTAAAACTGTTTTAATTTTTAAAAACACATTTTAGACGCGTAATAATTTAAAAAAAAAAAAAATGTTAATAAAAAAAATATTTTTTAAATTTTTATACAATTTGTTGTTAATGTTTTGTATTATATTAAAATTTTGTAATAATTTGAATTATTAAAAAAGCATTTCATTTTACTTTATGTTGATTTTTCCGAGTGTATTCATGTTACAACACCATCACATACACACAATCCGAAACATACACGCATACATATGGCAGCCAGACTCACACACCCACACACACATATAGATTATGCACAATCGAAAATTTGTTATCAATAAATGTTTGTTGTTATTTCGAATTCTATTTTAAGGTTATCAAGCGCGGCAAATACGTACTACCGACTGTTGCACGATTATGCCTGATCGCCACCTTCTTCGAGGATGGCCTGCGCATGTATTTCCAATGGAACGAACAGCGCGAATACATGGACATGAGCTGGGGCTGCGGCAAGTTCTTGGCCACAGTTTTTGTGCTAACGAATCTGCTGGGACAACTGGGCGGCTGTGGCATGGTAATGGCCAGATTCAAGGTGGACATTGCGGTCGGTCTGCTGTTCTTCATTGTGGTGCTGCAGGTGAGCCACGGCAGGTGTAAATTGCCTCACCTGGTTATGATTAATTTACTTTAATTCATCTTGTAGACAATCGCGTATTCCATACTGTGGGACTTCCAGTTCTTGCTACGCAACTTTGCTCTGATCGGCGCTCTGCTGCTGGTGTTGGCCGAGGCTAGGATCGAGGGACGCAGCTTATTTGCCGGCGTGCCATCGCTGGGCGACAACAAGCCCAAGAACTTCATGCAGCTGGCTGGTCGCATTCTGCTTGCCTTCATGTTCATCACACTCATCCGCTTCGAGCTGAGCGTGTGGAATGTCATTCAGGACATCATTGGCTCCACCTTGATGGTGCTCGTTGTGCTGGGCTACAAGACAAAGTTGTCGGCGTTAATTTTGGTTGCGCTGCTGACGGTGCTCAATCTATATCATAATGCCTGGTGGACAATTCCCTCGTACAAGCCACTAAGAGATTTTTTGAAATATGACTTTTTCCAGGTAAATATTTCTATATCATACTTGTATATACATATGATGTATAACTGTTATTTGGCACATTACAGACACTTTCGGTTATCGGGGGTTTGCTCATGATTGTCTCCTTGGGCCCCGGTGGCGTCTCCATGGATGAGCACAAGAAGAAGTGGTAGAGCTTCTTCTACACCTACAAAAGCAAATTTGACTTCAATTGCGATTAACTCTTGAATGAGATCATTTAGTTAGAATTACCATAAAATGGAACAACAGGAGATGCACAACAACAACAACACCGAATAGAACCCGAAAGAAAGAATGAAAAAATGTTATAAAAACTTGACTTATTTGATAAATTGATAAGGGACTTCCGCAATATCCAGGCTATAATGCTACGGCCCACCAAACAACAAAACAAAAACTAAAAACAAAACAGAAAAAGAAAAAACATTCGAGCACGTTCAACGAATCAACAACAAACTCTTCGTAGATACATACATGTAAGACATTTCATTTTGTACATAAAATACGGCGATTTTATGCCCCAAATGAGAGACATTAACTGATTTTATATTTGATTATATCTGTCCACGCATATATACATGTATAATTTGCAAAACTCTTTACTCTTACCTTGTACGCCCAATTTATAAGTTAATAATTTGTTGTGTGAAGTTCGGATTATGATAACGGTGTATAAAATATGATGAATTGTACCAATTGACGATGATTTGTTTCTTTCGTTTATAAGCAAAAGTGTAATAGAATTAAATTGTAACGTTTTAATAAACAACTAAAATTATCTACTGATTGTACAATTTTTGAAATGGGCGCCAAATGACTGATTGTTGCTCCTTTCTCTATGACACCGATGACAAGGGCTGGCGAAAAGTATTTAACATGTGAATATTGGGTTGATGGACAAAATCAATTATCGATAAATTTCTCACCGATTTCCGATAAGGAACACATTATTTAAGATTTTTTTTTAACAGTAAAGCTTTCCGCAATATATTAATACAAACATGATGAAAAAAAGTAAAAAGCAAGGAAGTAGGACAATAACAAAGTTTAGCTCGAAAAAAGACAAGCCTTTTCGCGTACGCGGCGTACAAACAGATCCGCCTTCCACAAGTGATGTTGGCATCCAATGCCAACGATTCGATGGGGACGAAGATTGGTTTGAGTCTGTGCCGTCAACAGAATCGAATGAAAACCCGGATGCGGAGAGTCATTTTCTGGCGTTTGTTAACCAGCACACCACCCGCTTTCCCAATGCTATGCTCGGGTGCCTCTTGTGTGGAGAAGTGGCCAAAAATCTGCAAACGCATCAGCAACACGTGAGATTGCATTATGGACCGCCATCACTGTGCTCCGACTGCGGTGAATTCGTCAGCCACGAGAATTTGCTCGCGCAGCACAAGTACAGCTGCAGGGCACATGCCCATCCCAGATCCCGGCCACAGATGCACATGCAGTGCCCCCATTTGCACTGTACTGTTATGATCACATCAAAGACGCAGCTCCGCCAGCATCTCCGGAGGCATGTGGTCTCCAAGCCATATTATTGCTTGCCGTGCTGTCAGAGGTTTAGCTCTACAACACAATTCCTGGTGCACCGCATACAGAGCACCACATGCCGATGGGCCAAGCCCTATTACCTTGCAAATAACTCGACGGACTTACGACACAAAGCGAAGATCAATCGCTGCTCCGTTTGCCTGAAACTCTTTAGCAATGCCTATCGCTGCCTGCAGCACAAGCGACGCTGCATCCAGGAGTATCAGCGGCGTCTGCGCAAATTGCTGAGAAATCCAAATATAAATATATAATAGAAACAATGCAATAAATAAGTAGTAATATAGAGTAAAGAAGTCCGGGTGTATCGTAAAACGTAACTGCATGAAATAAAGATCTGACCATAGCTCGAGGTTTTGTCATTAAATGGGTAACGAAAGACAAAAATGGATAGGCTTTCTGCATGTTCTTAGCAAAAGATTGCTATAAGTCGGAGTCGGATAAATCAAAATTAAAGTAATGGAGTCAAATTTGCCTATTTCGTATTTTTATTAACAATAATAAAGATGTTTGATTTTTATCTTATGTGGCTTGCACGCCGTGGGCCTTCTTCAAGCCCTTGAACAGCTGCAGCTTCTCCAGATTCACCTCCTTGAGCGTCTGCACCGCCAGCTCTAGTTGCACCTTCTTGAGCGCATGTTCGCTTCCAATGTATTGTTCGATGAATTTCAGGCTGATTTCGTCGGCTGCGAAATCTTGCTCCGTTTTGCCAATGGCCGTTTGGATCTCCTGCTCAATGCCCTTCTCGGATGGCTTCTTCAAGCAGCTGAGCAGCTCCTCGAGCGCACGCTCAGCGGGCGTTGGCTGCAGTGCCTCTAGCTGACTAAGCGTTTTACCATATTCCACGGGCACGTTGTGTATCTTATAGCTAAGCGCGATCAGCTGGACGCCATTGTATAAATAATCGCGTCGGATCATATCGTACAGCAGATCATCGATGCACCGATGCCAAGCGTAGAAGAAGGCCATGGGTCCAAAGTGTCGGGTAGAGCGGAGCAGATCGAATTGCTTCGATTCATTCAAATGCGTAAAGACTTTGGCTGAAATGTTGTGGAACTCGGCCTCGTAGGGCTCGTATTGCACCGTCAGGCGATCCAGTATGAACTCATATTTGTGATCGTCCAGGCAACGCTGCAGCAACTGCTCATCGCTGAACATGCGCGGCGTGTAGGATCTGCGGCCATCCAGGGGGAAATACAATTGATTCATGCGCTTTTGGGTCTCTAATGGGGCATAGGCCAAGGTGCCGTCCACATCACGTACCACCACCTTGCGCTCCGATGGACGCAGACCAAAGCTGATGTCGGTGAAAACGTACTTTGAATTGTCAAAGTCTTTTAGTGCCGGATCTTTGGATATGATGCGCTCGGTGTCCTTTTTGATCTGCACAACTGGCGGCATTTGCAGTAATTTCTTGGCTTTTTCGATGGTTAGCACAAACTCCTTTTCTAGCTGTGCGGTGGTCATGAATTTCGTTTCCGTGCTGTTGTCCGCAACGGTTCGCTTCCGGAAGACCTTCTCCAGCTGCAGTTGCGTCATGGATTGAAGCAGCCGCTGCGTTTCGGCATCTGTGAATAGCGGCTGGGGATCTTTGTCGTATTGCAGGCTGGCATCGGAGAGGGTGCGTCGCGATTGGTCCACGCCCAGCTGCAGTCGTTGCACTGCATTCAGTTTGCGCAATTGTCTTAAAATTAACATTTTTAATTCAATAAAACTGCAAAGTAGAGCCAAAACACACGAGCCAAAGACTTGCAGTGCTGTAAAATGTTCTATGCTCAATGTGTCGCTATGTAGCACTGTTAAGTATCGATCAACTATCGTCTGCTACGAAATAACAGCTGCTTGCGTGTCCATGCGAATGGCAATGAAGAAGAGTTTTCACGGGTTTGACGTTTTTTTTTTTAGCTGCTGTTTTTTTTTTTACTTGGCCAAAAAAGTTGAGTTTTCTCGTCAATTTGGCTTGCAGCGCGCTAAACAACATGAATAGTGTGCATAACGCTTTTGTTGCTGCGCAAAAGCGTCGATTGTCCGACTGCGAACACAAGCAAGGGGACGCGCCCCAACCGCTGCCCCAGGAGCAGCCGGAGCCGAAACAACGGAAGACAGAACAACAGCATCAGCAACAGCAACAGCCTCAGCAGCAGCAGCAAGTGCAACAACAACAGCCACAAAAACATTGTCTGCTGAGTTTTTGCAATGAGCTGCTCTATGAGATATTCAAGTATTTGGACACAGCCTCCATACTGGCGATGATGCTGTGAGTGAAATTATGTCAGCCTTTTGTTTCTAAATGCATGGTAATATCTATTGCTTTCGTCAGCTGTTCGCCGCACTTGGAAAGTTTCCTTCTGGATCACCGCTTCTGGCACAATATTGATCTCAGCAATGCGCCGCTGCCGTTGGGCATCCTGGAGGAGGTGCTCGGACGTGCCACAGAGAAGACGCACACCATCAAGATTCGCGGCCCACCCTCGTCGCAGCATGTTGCCGGCGAGTTTAAGCAATTCACCTGCACCCTGACCTCAGTGTTCCCCAAGGTGGCCACACAGCTTAAGGTTCTTGAATTACAAGGCGTAAGCCTGGATTTTGAATACGTGCGTATCTATATACATACATGTTACTAAGATTTATATATAATAACCTTTTTTGCTGCTTTCAGATACATATATCGGAGTTTCCATCCTCACTGAAGCGGCTAAAACTTAAGGATTGCAGCGTCAAGGTTGGAGATCATGTCAAAAGTATATTTCACACTATAGAAAAGCAATTGATCCACTTGGAGGTAAGGATATATATCCGATTGGAATAGGTTAGTCTAACACGTGCTCTATATGTAATAGGACCTGAGCATTGAGGATAACAACTGGTTTGAGCCTTACTATATAATGGCGTTATCCAAGCTGCCGGCGTTGCGCCGCCTCAGCCTGAAGGGCTGTCAAATGATGTGCAAATTTGTGCCCTACGGCAGCATGGCAGCCCGCTTTGGTTTTCAAAACTTGGAGGTATGCTACAGCTACATACATAAGCATATATTTATATAGACATAGTCTAACGACTTTCTCCATCTTTGCACAGGTTCTTGATTTGCGTTTGACGCCCATTAACAACTCAGATCTGCAGTGCTTTAGCGCCATTGAGGGCCTGAAGGAACTGCTGCTGGAATCGCCCCCCAATTTGCCTCAGGAACCGACCTGTCCCACAAAAACAACAAATGGCAATGTGCCGAGCAGCGAGGACTCCCCTGCCCCAGTGGCAGATCAAGTGAAAATGTTGAACGACGATGAGCCGTCAACATCGCGCGCAGCCATGGAACACTTGCGTGCGTGCAAAATAGCTGCCCAGAGTCAGGATGCCAACGCAGAGGCACCCAAGCCAGCCAGCGAAACATACACTTCGGATAATTGCAATTTTAGAAAGGATGCGAGCGATGCGCCCAAGCCCTCCGGCAGCACAACCAAGCGCAGTGGCTGCCTCTCATCCGGTTCGGATGATGAGGACACATCGTCCACGTCTGCGTCCTCCTCCGATAAATCAGATAATGCTGCAGCGCACAGCACTGGACATAGCTCCTCCGATCCGGATGGCAATGGGGGCATACAGTCGCCCCTTGTGGTTATCGCTTTGCCCAGCGTAGCGCGTCATTCACCAGCTCCCGCCGAAAATCAACAGAATGCCAATGAAAATCCTGATCCTGCGCCAGCGGCAGCAGCAGCAGATGCAGCATCGGCAGCGGCAGCCGATGCGGCAGTCGGTGCTGCAGCAGATGGCGGCGTTGAGGCACCACGCGCTTACATCTATGTACAGAACGGTCCGCCGGTCGACGGACAGCGGCCGCAGGTGATGGCCTCGCTGATCGAGCAGATGGTGGATCAGATACACACGCTTCGTGGCAATCAGCCGGCGCACAGCCGGTTCCTGAGGCGTCGCGACCAGGTGATCTATATGAATCCACAGGCAATTGCCGAGCCGCTGTTGGTCATGCAGTCACGTCGCACACATCGCATCCAGCCACGCGGCAATTTGGAGCAGGTTGTGCAGCATCCGATGTTCTGGAATATGCTCGATCCCTTGGACAGGGACTATTCCCGTCGGATGCGCTGTCGACCACCGGTCAGCCAGCTACCGCCCCAATGCTATGTCTCGGATCGGGCAATGTATAGCTTTGGGCGTGCCTATCCCGTGCAATCGGACGTCGTTTGGATACGCAACTCAAATCGCTCGTCCAACAATCGACTCGAGCGGATCGAGCTACGCAATTATCCGCACATCACAAACTATACGCTGGAGCATCTGGTGCAATGCTCCCCGAATCTCGTCTACATCGATGTGAGCGGCACGAGTGTAACTTCATTGGGCCTGCGCAAGTTCAAGAAGCTAAAGCCCGAGTGTGAGGTAGTTGCAACACATTTAAGCATGGACGAACAGCCGGAGCAGGCCGAGACGGAAGTCCTTGTGCAAGCGCAGCGAGAGATGGAAGAGCAGCAGCAGCAGCAGCGGCCGCCACAGGATGAAAACTTAGACGAAGCTGCAGCGGAAGAGAAAGCCGAGGCTGAAGCCGAAGCAGAAGCTGAAGCTGAAGCCGAAGCCGAAGCCGAACCTGAACCCCAACTGGACGCGCCTTAAGGATTCCTAAAATAGGCTTGATAAAATTAAATCTCTTCCTCCTTCGCTCCTCTTCAAATGCTCCACGCTGTGGCGCAGAGTTATTTAGTATTATGTTTGGAACACACACACACTTACATACTTTACTATATATATGTATATCTTATATGTGTTATAGAGAGAAGCATATATACATATGTATATCCTATATGTATACATAAACACTCACGAATATATTTGTCTGGCTTGATGAAATGTAACAATTTGTTAAGCATTAAACAAAAACAAACAAACAAATGATAAACAATTTTGGAATTGAGTAACTGATGAAATGTTTATTGGGTAGCCGTCGAAAAAAAAAAAAAAACTTGAAGTGAAGTGGACAAAACAATTGTTCAGTTGCGCTTTCTGAGAGCCAACTCTCGGGTGAAAAACTTGGGAATAACATTCGAATGGAAAACACGTGTGGAAATTCAATTCTCGGTTAACTAGTGCTTAAAAAAATTGTATGTCTGTTACTTGTCATTTTCGTTGTTGGAGGACTCCTCCTCCTCYTCCTCGACCTCGGAGTCATCCTCGCTGTCCTCTGTCTCCGAGTCCGAGGCATCTGTGCTCTGGCAGTCGGCTATTTCGCCAGTGAAAAAGATAACGGCCTTCGGTATGACGCGCTCCTTCAAGTAGAAGCCCAACTCAAAGTCGTTCTGCAGTATGGCCTGATCAGGTTCAGGTGGGTAATACGATCAGGTAATACAATCGATCTTAAATTTCTAGTCATGGCTTACGTTTATGTCACTGAAATTGGGATCCTCGGGATCATCAGGAAGAACAGGTGGCGTAAAGAAATCAAAGAATGACGGCTGATCTGTGGAGAAAAGCGCAATGTGATCTGAAACTCATTGAGTCCGAAGAAAAAAGTTCCAAGAGTCATAAGTCTATAAGATGTCTAATTTTTTAGATTCCAAATTTCTAAAAGTCTAGAGTTCTAACAGAGAGTCAGCATCCAATGTTCTAAGAGTTTTATGTATTACGAGTTCTTAGTTCGATGCCCTACGAGTCCAAAGTCTTAAGAATCCTAAATCCTTCAAGTCCTCAGTTTTAAAAATCCTTAATTACATACACTCCCCTAAGTTTCAAGAAGCGCAATTCCTGAAACACCTAACTTCTAAGAATCCAAAGTTTTAAGACTTCTGACTGGCTGAGCTTTATATGTATATTATTATGACAACATACCATTTTTCTCGCGCTCCAAAGACTGCTTCCACTCGATGTGGCAGCCTTCGCATTTGACTATCTCAGCGCCGTCATAGGATAATGGGTCCTCCTTGTCGGGCACACAATTCAGTATATAGGTCTTTGTCAATACGCGATTCTTGAAGTAATCGTTCTTCTCAAAAGTGAACTCGATGACAAACTTGACGGTGTCTTCATTATAATGCTTGGTTCGTATATCACATAAGTACTGAAAAGGATATATGAATAGATCTCTCATTTTGAAGTAGAACTATCTTTTCTCACCGATAAAATTTTCTCATCCTCCTTGCCGATGAATTCGGTGTAAGAGGCTTTGAGCACTTTGAGCCAAAAGTGTGCCACACTGTCATTAGAATTAGCATCACCATGAATTTGTTTCTTGTATTCTCTAAGAGTATTCATATATTTTTTTTTCATTGCATGGGAAGAAAGGTTAGTTACTTAGTCTAGCGATCTATCTAAGGTGGAACGAAGTCTATATAAATATTTGAGCCTGAATTTTATGAATCAAATGCCTAATACGAAGAGGTAGCTTAGATCAGATAGAGTTAACTTTAAGATGGAGCAATCCATACTTCTTGGTTAGGAAAAAAGAATTCGAATCGAATCTATGTGTAAAAAGATTAACAGAATCTCATAAAATGAATCGAATATGTTTGAAACTAATCCAGGATCGAGGAATGAAGAGGAATATCTCAAAAACTTAAATGGAATCTATAGTAAAACAAAAATTACAAATGGAAATATATACTAAAACGAAATCTATAGTAAAACCAGAAGTACAAAGAGAACCTCTATATTCAATTTATGAGATCTTTGACAACTATTGGAAGCTAATGTCAGCTCATCATTATAAACTCATTATCTAACTTACTCAAGCATC